CGCCTCATCATGCGCTTGCCTCTCCTGTTGCCTGCCTTACCATACCTTGTCATTGGTATCACTGCATACCGAAGCTGTATCTACTGCTCGAGTGAGAAAAGGAGCGCGCCGGGGGCGCGTGGGCGGCCCGTGTCGTCGTCCGTCCCTGGCTGGACTCCGCACTTCCTATACTTGAGTGTAGTTGCTTAACAGATAACCGATAGTTTCATCGATGTCTCATCCCGTATCCTCTACCACTGAGCAGAGTCAACATGAGACCTTCATTCCTTTGGCATCTTACCCCGATTCTCAAAGGAAAGACTCCTCCTCCTCCTCCTCCTCCTCCTCCTCCTCCCCTCCCTCCTCCTCCTCCTCCTCCTCCTCCCTCCTCCTCCTCTCCTCCTCCCCCCTCCTCCTCCTCCTCCTCCTCCCCCCCCTCCCCCCTCCTCCCCCCCCTCCTCCTCCTCTCCTCCTCCTCCTCCTCCTCCCTCCTCCTCTCCTACCCCTATCCTTATTCCTTATTAGAATATACTCCTACTCCCCCCTCAGGCCGGCCGATAGGGGCCGCATCCGGGTGGTCCCATCCTAACCTGTAAAAAACAATACAAAATCAACATTTTTCTTATTTTTGCCTCTCGACATGGACGTCCTTCCTGTCGTCCACGGCGATAATCCATTGCAACAAATACTACAAAGAGCACGCGCGCGCGTTCATGTCAGAATCCTACCGAACACCGTGTGTTTGCAAGCATTTCAACATAAAACATCAAAAACCCAATGCTTTTTGCACAAAAATTGTACAAATTTCCCGCCCGGGCTCTCTTGCTGAAATCATAGGAAAACCATAGGAATCTTAAGAATTCTGTCAAATCCAGCGATTTCACGTCATCGCGCGGTGCACTCGCGATGCTCTGTCATGCACCCAGGCCGCGAATCCTGTGCAAAAAATATTACAAAGAGCACACTCGCGCGTTCATGTCAGAATCCTACCGAACACCGTGTGTTTGCAAGCATTTCAACATAAAAACATCAAAAACCCAATGCTTTTTCACACAAATGCTTTGGGGTGTCCTGTCAGACCGTCGGGCTTCCTCCGGCCACCTCTGGCTTCCTGCGGTGTACCGGGCCATTCTCGACTCGTCTGGCAATGCGTGCGCGGCATTCAACACGCGCTCGCCAGTTCCCGTCGGCAACCGCCATCGCGGCCGCATCAGCTGTACCAAACCGGCTGGCCGGTGTGACTTCGGCCCCCAGTTGTGCCAGCTTTGCTTCTTATGTTGTGGGAGGGCGGGTGGGACTGGGCATGCCATGCTTGACTCGCTCGAGCTGGCTAGCTTGACTCCTACTCCTACTCCTACCTATCCTTATTCCTTATTAGAATATACTCCTACTCCCCCCTCAGGCCGGCAGATAGGGGCCGCATCCGGGTGGTCCCATCCTAACCTGTAAAAAACAATACAAAATCAACATTTTTCTTATTTTTTCCTCTCGACATGGACGTCCTGTCGTCCACGGCGATAATCCATTGCAAAAAATACCACAAAGAGCACACGCGCGCGTTCATGTCAGAATCCTACCGAACACCGTGTGTTTGCAAGCATTTCAACATAAAAACATCAAAAACCCAATGCTTTTTCACAAAAATTGTACAAATTTCCCGCCCGGGCTCTCTTGCTGAAATCATAGGAAAACCATAGGAATCTTAAGAATTCGGTCAAATCCAGCGATTTCACGTCATCGCGCGGTGCACTCGCGATGCTCTGTCATGCACCCAGGCCGCGAATCCTGTGCAAAAAATACCACAAAGAGCACACTCGCGCGTTCATGTCAGAATCCTACCGAACACCGTGTGTTTGCAAGCATTTCAACATAAAAACATCAAAAACCCAATGCTTTTTCACAAAAATGCTTTGGGGTGTCCTGTCAGACCGTCGGGCTTCCTCCGGCCACCTCTGGCTTCCTGCGGTGTACCGGGCCATTCTCGACTCGTCTGGCAATGCGTGCGCGGCATTCAACACGCGCTCGCCAGTTCCCGTCGGCAACCGCCATCGCGGCCGCATCAGCTGTACCAAACCGGCTGGCCGGTGTGACTTCGGCCCCCAGTTGTGCCAGCTTTGCTTCTTGTGTTGTGGGAGGGCGGGTGGGACTGGGCATGCCATGCTTGACTCGCTCGAGCTGGCTAGCTTGACTCCTACTCCTACTCCCACTCCTACTCCGACTCCGACTCCGACTCCTCCTCCTCCTCCTGGTCCTCCTCCTCCTCCTCCTCCTCCTCCTCCTCCTCCTCCTCCTCCGCCTCCTCCTCCTCCCCCTCCTCCGCGCCAGCGGCGCAAGACACCTCAGGGCAAGGAGGAATGGAGGGACGGGAAGAGGCTGTGTCTCCTCCTAGGTGGGGGAGGGCAGGCAGAGGTGTCCGTTTCCAGGTTCTCCCCATCGTTGGTGCAAAACGTCCCTTCGGGAGGGCGCACCTTTCGTGTCGTCCGACCCCCCCGGACGCCTCACCTGGTCGCCAGTGTCCCCGTTCCACCTCGTCGTCGTCGTCCTCCTCCTCCTCCTCCTCCTCCTCCTCCTCCTCGTCCTCGTCCTCGTCCTCCCCGTCCCCCTCCTCCTCCTCCTCCTCCTCCTCCTCCTCCTCCTCCTCCTCCTCCTCCTCCTCCTCCTCCTCCCCCTCCTCTCCCCCTTCTCCTCCCCGCCCTCTTCCTCCTCCTCCTCCTCATCCTCCTCCTCCTTCTCCTCCTCTTTCTCCTCCTCCTTCTCCTCCTGCTCCACTGCCAAAGCATCGAGCGAACCCTGGATTTCCGGGCGCCGCGGGGAGCAAAAACACCCGTGGCGGTAAAGTACTTTGAACACAGCGTTGTCGTACAAAAAGAGCACCTGCGCAGAGAGTGCTGTAGAGAGTGAAGTGTACCACAGCCGTTTTCAAGTGGCATTCGGCCCATGCCGCCAGTGTGCCCAGGTTGTGGGTCAGAGGCCTCCTGGGTGCCTTTGGGAATCTCTTGGGAGGCCTCCCGGTTCATCTTGAAAGCTTCTTGGAGGCGGTTTTCGGGGTGTCTCGGGGTCTCTCGGGGTCTCTTGGGGGCCTCGGGGGGCCTGATTTGGGCCTTTTGGGGGCTTGAGGCTTCTGCGAGACACCTTGGGGGCATGCTGGCGGTCCCAGGGGCCATCTTGGAGCGGCGAGTGCGAAATATCAGTTCGAGTTCACCCTCTAGGGGCCCTTTTTGGGACCCTCTAGGGTGGGGGGGGCCTCTTGGGCCGTCTGGGGTGTCCTCTGGGCTCCTCCCGGACCGTATGGGGGTTCTCTTGGGGGCCTCTTGGGCCGTCTTGGTACGATCTTGGAGGCCTCCTGGGTCGTCTTGGAGCGTCGGGAGCCAGAAAGGGCGAGAACGCTAACATCGCAGTTCTTCTTAGATATGCCCATTGCGTTTTTTGTTGAATTATAAGGAACTCGGCGTGTTGGAAGCCGTTTGTTTAGCGTTTTTCGGTCTCAACAAGAGTATTAGAGACGCTCAGCAACTACTCATGTCTGGCATTTGTAGCTAGTTTTTTCCAGCGTATTCAGACCAGCTGGTTGCACCTGGCTAGCGTTTGTTTAGCGTTTTTCAGCGTTTCCAGATTTGTTTTTTTGTTGTAATCCGTTTTCAGATCACTCTAACGTCCTCAGTTCCTTCTCCTGGCGTGCAGTCCTCCATTTTGTTGTTATTTTTATTATTGTTTATTTTGCTATTCTCTTGTCCTCGCTGCTGGCTGGGGCGTCGGGCCTCCCAGGCCCGATGGCCGATTGCCCCTCCTGGAGTCAAAGGGCCTCCGGACAGGACCTGTTTTCGGGCCAGAAGAGAACGGCGGCAGAATTGAACAAGCGGGAGCGAAGACAGCAGAGAGCCAAGGAACAGCCTTCGACCAGAAAGAACACACTGCTAAACAAATTATGGTCCGCATCGACGGGCCTAACAACGCTGTATCAATTTGAGTTGACAACGCTAAGCAACCACCGTGTTATTCATACATGCGTCTATCTATTTGTAGATTGTATGTATGTATGTGTGTATGCATGCATGCATGCATGCATATATGTGTGTATGTATGTATGCATGCATGTATGTTTGATGTTTGTATGTATGTATGTATGTATGTGTACACATATGTGTGTACATCTAGACATGCATACCCACATATATATATATAGTTATGTGTGTGGATTCGCGTGTCTTTCGCATGCCAAGAGCCCACATGACAAAACGTTAGCAAAGACGCCCAGGGCGCGTTTAATAACAAACGAAGCTAACATCCTTCAACCACCCAGGGAATAACAATGATGTTTGCCTCTCGGGGTCTTCTTGGGGGACTTCTTTGAGCCCTCTTGGGGCTTCTTGGGGGCCTTCTGGGTTGTTTTGAGGGCATCGTGTGCAGTCTTAGGGCCTTTGGGGCCGTCTCGTAGCGCTCCTGGAACGTCTTGGGTGCTTCTCAGAAAAACTGTGAGGTGTCCTCGGGTCGTTTTGGGCGGGGGGCACCGTTCCAGAGGCTCACGCGACAAACCACAACAGCGCCCAAAAATTTTGGGAAACGCCCAAGAATCTCGGGGAGCGCCCATCGGGGAGGATCGGCAGGGGTATAAGAGGGAGAATGAGGAGGAAGAGGAGGAGGGAGGATTGGAGGACGAGGAGGAGGAGGAGGAGGAACCGGATGAGGAGGAGCAAGCACGACGACGAGGACGAGCACGAGGAGGAGGAGGAGGAGGAGGACGAGGGCGAGGAGGGGGAGGATGAGGATGATGAGGGCGAGGGGAGGAGGAGGAGGAGGAGGAGGAGGAGGAGGAGGAGGAGAATGAAGAGGAGGAGGAGGAGGAGGAGGAGGAGGAGGAGGAGGAGAAGGCGGAGGAGGAGGAGGAGGGCAATGGGGGAGGAGGCGGAGGGGGAGAATCGGGAGGGTGAGGGGGAGGACGAGGAGGATGAGGAGGAGGAGGATGACTCCCGCTCCCTGGAGGGTCGACAGCCGCAGAGTCTGCCCCCCCATTCCCGCGCGAGGCCCTCGCTCTGCGGGTGCTGTGGCGGGCACGCGGGTGCGGAGCCGCGGGCGGAGGCCTCGTGCATCGGGAGGGCCACGGCGCAGATGGCGCAGCTCGAGTGACCCGCGAGCGCCACGGCCGCGACGCCAGGCCTCTCGAGCACGTGCATTCGATGCTCGTTTCGGGGACCTTTCTGGGGCTCACTTAATAGATTTGTTCGGCTCCAGCTCGACTCAGGTTCGACTCAAATTCGACTCAAGTTCGACTCAGATTCGACTCAGGTTCGACTCATATTCGACTCAGGTTCGACTCAGGTTCGACTCAGGTTCGACTCAAGGTCGACTCAGGTTCTACGCGGGTCGACGGACGTTCGACGCAGCTTCATCGCACGAGTGGAGCGGGTGGCTCCAAGAGGGTCCCCAGAACCTCTGCCTCCCCGAGCCTCCGACGTGACGTTTTTTGTTTCCAGTCCTGACGATATCCTTGCTTCGACTTGGGATTTAGGGTTAGAAAGCCCAGGGTTCTCCCCCCAAAACGACGAAAACCCTTCAAACCCCCTCCGAAACTCTCAGAAAGCCCTCACGGAACCATGAGGGTTTGGGGAGGGTTTCGCTTGTTTTGAAAAGAAGCCGGTCCTTAGCGAACCCTGGACTTTCTAAATTGAGGTCGGTCTCTTGGGCGGAGGCCGATGCCACCTCTGGCCTCGGGGGCCGTCAGAAGTGATGATGATGATGATGATGATGATGATGATGATGATGATGATGATGATGGAGATGATGATGATGATGATGATGATGATGATGATGATGATGATGATGATGATGATGATGATGATGATGATGGTGATGATGTTGCTGCTGCTGATGACGGCGACGACGATGATGATGATGATGCTCATGATGCTGCCGATGATGATGATGGTGATTATGATGATGATGCTGATGATGATGACGACGATGACGATGACTGCCGATGATGATGATGCTGATGATGATGATGATGGTGGTGATGATGATAATCATGATGATGATCATCATCATGATGATGATGCTGATGATGATGATGATGGTGGTGGTGGTGGTGGCGGTGGTGGTTATAGTGGTGATGATGATGATGGAGATGATGATGATGATGCTGATGATGATGATGATGATGATGATGATGATGATGATGATGATGATGATGCTGATGCTGATGCTGATGATGATGATGATGATGATGATGATGATGCTGATGCTGATGCTGCTGATGATGATGATGACGAGGATGAAGATGAGGATGCGGATGAGGATGAGGATAAGGATGATGACGACGACGATGATGATGATGATGATGCTGATGATGATGATGATGATGATGATGATGATGATGATGATGATGATGATGATGATGATGATGATGATGAGATGAGGAAGAGGAGGAAGAGGAGGAGGATGAGGAGGAGGAGGAGGAGGAGGAGGAGGAGATGGAGGAGGAGGAGGAGGAGGAGGAGGAGGAGGAGGAGGAGGAGGAGGAGGAGAGGAGAGGGAAGGAGAGGGAAGGAGGGGGAAGGAGAGGGAAGGACAGGGAAGGAGAGGGAAGGAGAGGGAAGGAGAGGGAAGGAGAGGGACGGAGAGGAAGGAGAGGGGAAGGAGGAGGAGGAGGAGGAGGAGGAGGAGGAGGAGGCGGAGGAGGAGGAGCAGCAGGAGGCGGAGGCGGAGGAGGCGGCGGAGGAGGCGGAGGAGGCGGAGGAGGAGGAGCGGAGGAGGAGGAGGCGGAGGTGGAGGAGGCGGAGGAGGAGGAGGCGGAGGAGGAGGAGGAGGAGGAGGAAGAGGAGGAGGAGGGGCGGAGGAGGGGACGAGGAGGAGGAGGCGGAAGAGGAGGACGAGGAGGAGAGGAGGAGGAGGAGGAGGAGGAGGAGGAGGAGGTCCCCAGAAGGGGTTCGAGAGCTCAGGGGGCCCACAGGTCGAATTCGTCACATCACGTTCGGCGTTTGAGCCCGCGCCGCCGCGCCGCCGCCTCCCCCGCGCACAGAGGTTCCGGCGGGGGCGCCGGCCGCCGCCCCGCGCACAGAGTTTGAAGCAGGGGTGCCAACCAGCGCCAGGGCTGGACCTCAAGGAGGAGGAGGAGGAGGCGGTGGAGGAGGAGGAGGAGGAGGTGGAGGAGGAGGAGGAGGAGGAGGAGGAGGAGGAGGCGCTTCGGCAGGGAGGTGTACATGAAAACAGGTACTCTGGGTTTCTGAATACGCGGGGGGGGGGTACCCCCCCCCGACGGGGGTCAGCCTCGCCCCGTCGGCGGGCCGCGGCGGGAGTCGGAGCGCCTTCGGCGCGCGTTGGCTGCCCGCGACGGGGGTCCGATGTGGGGCTGTTGGCGGGGGGTGACGCCCCCCCGACGCTTATTGAGAGACTCGGAGCAGAGCAGAACGAAAAACAAAACGAGCACATAACGGAACACAACGTTCAGGGCCAGCCCTGGCGGCCAGCGGCCGCCTCGCGCACAGAGTTTTAAGCCGAGGCGCCAGGCGATTCTGGAGGATGTCTCCGAAGGGCTTAGGCGACCCGTCCTCCTCCTCCTCCTGCTCCTCCTCCTCCTCCCTCCTCCTCCCCCTCCTGCTCCTCCTCCTCCTCCTCCCTCCTCCTCCGCCCTCCTCCTCCTCCTCCCTCCTCCCTCCTCCTCCTCCTCCTCCTCCTCCTCCTCCTCCTCCTCCTCCTCCTCCTCGGGTCGCCGACGGCCCCGGGGGAAACCGTGCAGGTGATTCCGAAAGAGGCGCCCCCCAACCTCGCCACTGGTACTCCGCGTCCGAGGCAGCGACGCTGGCAGTCGGAGCAGCAACGGCAGACGTGGCATGCAGCATCCCCCTCTCTCGACGGAATGCTGGTAGGGTTAAGTCGGGCGTGTCCCTCTCCACAGGAGGAATATTCAAGTAGTCAAACAATAGTCTGGAGACGATTGTTCGATTATGTTCCCACTTTTGGGGGGGATTTTTCGACTATTTTTCGTTCGCCCTAAATCCGCCTATAGGCGGACATGCCCGACCTAACACTGGTACTCAGCGTCCGAGGCAGCGGCGCCGGCAGTCGGAGCAGCAACGGCAGATGTGGCATGCAGCATCCCTTTATCTCGACTGAATGCTGGTAGGGAGGGCGGCAGGCGGGAGGAAGCACCCCTGCTTCTTAGAAGGCAGGGGCCTTATCTATAGATGTAAGGCCGGCGCCTTCTAAGAAGCAGCCTCCTTCTAAGAGCCCTCCCCCTCCCTCCACCTCCTTGTGCGCACCGCCAAAGGGTGGCAGGCACACTTGGAGATTCTCAGGAGCCTGGCAAAGCCAAAGGGTTTTGGGACAAAGCACCTGGCGGAGGACGCAAGTCCATTCAACCGCGTGTAGAGGTGCGTGCCGTGGGAGGCAGGGAGTGAGAGCTCCCCATGGGGGCATGATGCGTGTGAGGGGCGTGCCCGTCCTGCCATGGTCAGCGCTCTCGCCAGGGCCGCGGGCAGACCTCGCTATGGGGTGCGACCCGTGTCATGGCTGTGCTGGGTTGGGGCAAGGGCGCCATGTCAGCGAGGAGGAGCAGGAAGACGAACGAGAAAACGAGTATTATTAGTAATACTAATAGTACTATTACTTCGAATACCAATAAGAAATCGACGAGCAACAAACATATATTCGATATAATAATATGATTAATACTGGTACTCATACTTATAATAATACTATATTAGTACTTCCGATACTAATAATACGGATAAGACGACATAGTAAGACGAGGAGGAGGAGGATCCATTTGGGCTGCAGGTGGAGCTCCATGTGGGGCAAGGCTGTGGCAGGGCTCTGACCGTGCCCTCCCCTCGTGCCCCCGGGCCCCTGTTGCCGAAGAGAGTGCCGGGCAGGAGCAGCCTGGCCTTCGTGACGCGCACAGGCTGTCCAGCAAGCGGCAGCGAGAGCTCGCCGAGGCCCCCCCCGTACCCCTTCCCTTAATTCGGGCGCGTCCCTCTACAGGAGGAAGATTCAAAAGTAGTCAATATATAGTATGGGGACGATGTTTGGGTTAGTTTTGCACATTTTTTGCATATTTGTCCCAACCCTCCTTGGTTGGGTATTCGTTTTGAATCGATCACTGTGGTCTCCTTCTTTCCTTGTCTCCTTCCCACCTCCCTCCTGCCTCCTCCTGTCTTGCCTTAGGGGGGGAGTCTGCGATCTGTGAAATTGTCGCCACTTTCGACGGCTGCTGGGGGGGTCCAACACAGTGGCGTCCTACGCGGATTCACATTCGACCTCGCCATCCCTGGGGGGTGCGATCTGTGAAACGGTCGCCACTTTCGATGGCTGCTGGGGGGTCCAGCACAGTGCCGTCCTTCGCGGATTCAACCTAGACCTCGCCATCCCTGGGGGGCTGTGATTTGTGAAATTGTCGTCACTTTCGAGGGCTGCTGAGGGGGTCCTGCGCCGATTCATGTTCGACCTCGCCATCCCTGGGGGGCTGTGATATCTGCGACTGTCGCCACTTTCGATGGCTGCTGGGGGGGTCCAACACAGTGGCGTCCTACGCGGATTCACATTCGACCTCGCCATCCCTGGGGGGCTGCGATCCGTGCGACTGTCGCCACTTTCGATGGCTGCTGGGGGGGTCCAGCACAGTGACGTCCTACGCGGATTCAAACTAGACCTTGCCATCCTTGGGGAGCTGCGATCTGTAAAACTGCCGCCACTTTCGAGGGCTGCTGGGGGGGTGTCCGGCACAGCGGCGTCTTACGCGGATTCAAAGTCGACCCGCCATCCTTGGGGGGCTGCGATCTGTGAAACGGTCGCCACTTTCGACGGCTGCTGGGGGGTCCAGCACAGTGCCGTCCCGCGCGGATTCAAATTCGACCTCGCCATCCCTGGGGGGGCTGCGATATGTGAAACGGTCGCCACTTTCGAGGGCTGCTGGAGGGTCCTGCACAGTGCCGTCCTGCGCGGATTCAAATTAGACCTCGCCATCCCTGGGGGGCTGCGATCTTCGGATCGGTCGCCCCCAGGGATGGCAAGGTCGAGTTCGAATCCGCGTAGGACGCCACAGTGTTGGACCCCCAGCAGCCCTCGAAAGTGGCGACAATTTCACAGATCGCAGCCCCCCAGGGATGGCGAGGTCTAATTTGAATATGCGTAGGACGTCACTGTGTTGGACCACCCAGCAGCCCTCGAAAGTGGCGACAGTTTCACAGATCGCAGCCCTCCAAGGATGGCGAGGTCTGTTTTGAATCCGCGCAGGACGTCACTGTGCTGGACCCCCCAGCAGCCCGCGCCACTGGCGACAGTTTCGCAGATCGCAGCCCCCCAGGGATGGTGAGGTCTACTTTGGATCCGCGTAGGACGTCACTGTGTTGGAGGTCAGTGAAACCACCGCCACTTTCGCGGGCTGCTGGGGGGTCCAGCACAGTGACGTCCTACGCAGATTCAAATTAGACCTCGCCATCCCTGGGGGGCTGCGATCTGTGAAATTGTAGCCACTTTCGAGGGTTGCTGGGGGGCCAGCACAGTGACGTCCTACGCAGATTCAAATTTGACCTCGCCATCCCTGGGGGGCTGCGATCTGTGAAATTGTAGCCACTTTCGAGGCCTGCTGGGGGGTCCAGCATAGCGACGTGTTACGCAGGTTAAAATTCGACCCTGCCATCCCTGGGGGGCTGCGATCTGTGAAACGGTCGCCACTTTCGACGGCTGCTGCGGGGGTCCCTCGCGTGATGTTATCCAGAGCCACGAAGGTCGACGATCTCGTGATGATCCGGGACCCGGGGCTGCAGTTTCTTTCTTGCGGGCTGCCCGCGGACCTCGCGGCGCGCCTGCGTGCCTTTAGCTCCCGCGCTGAAGAGTTCTGGAAAGAGGCCCAGCTGCTTGCAGAGCAGCTCGGCCTTGCGGATTTCTTGAATTGACTGCGCCTATTTATTGGCGTGTCTCGAAACATGGTCCCCGTGTTTCCGCTGCCCTCCTCTCGTTGTCATCCCCTTCCCTCCGGCCGTTTTTTTCCTGCTGCTATATCTTCTTGCTGCTGCCAGGACGCGATCCAGAGGTAACATGCCGATGCTTTCCCTCAAAATCCGTACCCCTCTTCCCCTTGCGCCCCTGCTTCCAATTGCTGCAACTGTTGGTATTTGGGGTCCATGATGTGGCGCGAAGTGCGCGAGAGGTGTGCTGAATGTAAGTTCCATTGAAGGCACCACCACGTTACCACTCCCTTTATAAAGTGCCCCAAGTTACTCTTTCCCAGCATTGCGCAGGGGTTTGGTACGTCGCCAGGGTTCTTTTAAGCGTTTTTCATTTTTCGCCCAGAATCCTCCTGTAGGAGGCCGCGCCCAACCGAACCCTTCCCGCGAATAAGAGAAGACGCCATGAACATAAGCTTTTGGCGCTCCGCGTGGATTTCTTGCAGCCGCGTGGGTTCCCCAGGCGGCGCCTCCGGCGCCGCCTCTGGCGCGCGGGGCGCGCCGGGGAGGGGGCCCAGCGCAGATCCAAGAAATCCGCGCGGAGCGCCAAAAGTTTGTGTTTATGGTGTTTTTGTTCTTGTATTCCTTCCTCCGCCGTGGGTTCACACTCGAGGATCTACAGTCAACCCGCGCAATGCGAATGGGCATCCTCCCCACGGGCGCCCTCGCATCCATGTCTCCGCGGTCCATCCTTGGCCACTTTCGTGGGCGCGCTCCGCTCGAGAAACTTCAAAATAGGAGTCCAAGGCCCTGGCGTTCCTATCGCGCATCCTTATGATACGGGCCGATTGTATCGGTAATGCTCTCCTTTGAGTGATTTCAGTTTTTGTCGACGGATCCTCCAAGGGCCTGCTCGTCGCGGCGGTCGTGCTCCCATGCAAGTCCGGGCAAGATTGTGCCCCGGGAGTGCCTTGAGGCCTATACATCCAAGCTCCTTGAAGCCACGGTGGTTGATTTTTGTTTTGTTTTGTTGGCGACGGGGTTTTTGATGTTTGGGGTTGGTTAAGGTGCCCTTGGCCCAAGGTGCCCTCCAGCTTTTCGCTTCATTCTGGGGCCCTCTTTGGGCGTCGTGAGGGGTGCCCTGGAGGCCGTGGGGGCCTCCCTGGAACTCCTTGGGTCACCTCGGGCCAGGAGCACTTCTAGCACCACCCGAGGGTGGATGGGCCGTCGTAAATTTAGGTCGGGCATGTCCCCCTACAACCGGATTTTGAGCGAAAGATCGAACATGCCCCCAACAATATGCAGAACAAGTCGAAACATAAGCAAAAAACCATCCCGCTTAGATTCTTTTGACAACGGTTGAATCGTAGAAGGGGCACGCCCGACTTAGAATTGTAAACCTGGGCTGCGGCGTGACGGCACCGGGCGGGGCATCCGGCGCCGAGGGGAGGGCGCGAGGGCGGGCGGAAATCGTCGTGCGCTGCCCGACGGCGGGGCACGTCGGCCGAGGCCGAGGCCGGCGGCGGGAGGAGCCGCGGCCCTGCTCGGGCAGGCGGCCACGCGGGCGGTGCAGTGGCCCCCGTGCACCGCCAGCGTGGCCATCGAGGCAGGACGTGCGGCGACGCGTTGGTCGCGCACGTGGTCCACGTCGCAAAACAAAACAAAACTGGGGTGCTCTGGATCAAGTGACGGCCAACGGCGGCCTTGCTCAGGCTCACTTCGATTCCTCCGAGTCGATCTGGTTCGATTTCGACGGCCTCCGACTCCGATCCGACTCGACTTCGGATTCCGACTTTGGTTCCGATTTTTCAGTGGAGGCTTGCTAGCCTTCCGACTTTCGCCGATTCGACTTTTCCCGACTCGGCTGCCGATATTCGCCGATCCGATTCATTTCGATGGCCGATCCGAATTGTCGATTCGATTCTGGGCTCTCTGGCCTGGTTCGGGCAGGCGGCCACGCTGGCGGTGTAGTGGAGGCCCATGCCAATAAACGC